CTTTAGTTGTTCTTGAGATAATCATAGGTTCTTCTGTAGTCTATTGTTATTCTATTGGTTTCTCCATATTAAGCTGCCCTTATGTTTCTGGGATAAAGACATAGGTAGTACTGTATATTTCAAACAAGTGAAGATGATAATGATGATTTTACAAAGTAACCATGCACTTTGGTCAAAAAGAGAATAAAAAGTAGCCCTAGAAAATTTTCAACCAATTGTTCTACATATATTAGAAATAAATACGTTTGGGGCTTGGAACTGTAATTTTTAAAATACATTATCTTGAGATTAATTTATTTAATGTAATTGCAAGTCTGAGTCCAGGTCTCTATTTTCACCCAAACTTACCTTCATAGTCTGAATATCCAGAAAAAGCAACCTTCCCTATGTCTAGAAACATCCGGTCCTACCCTAATGTAGGTAAAACAGAAATGATTAAAGAATTTAGACTCATCTTCAGCAACTTTGAGATCTGTCTGGAAGATCTGTGAAAAACTAGGTATATCTCCTAAGAGGCATTCAAATTTTCCCCGAGAGGTTGATGTAAATTGACACCTGAGATGATTCCCATCAGGCATACAATCTGGGTAGACTCCATTCTTCTCGGCCCTGCATGCCTCTGAGCAGACGACATTCATAGTCAGGGCAGCATGCGGGCCAGGAAAATTATCCAAGGAATTCTTGGCTTCTTCCAGGGGAATGTGCAGATTCAGATTATGTAATCTGAGATCTTAGCCATCAGGATCATCCTGCTCCACCTCTTAGTATATTAGTGAGGAAAAGTGTAGAAAAGGGAAGTGGCTGAGGGGACACAGACAATGTAGCTAACATGCCAGGATAAGACCTTGGGTTTTATGACTTTCAGTTCTGTATTTTGTTGTCACGCTGGCTTACTCATTGCTAGCAGATTTCTGCTATCTAAATGAATCATTAAATTCCATCTTGAATTGTGTGTGATAAAGAGTAATAACCTATTTTATTAAATATGCAGGCAATTTAACATTTCTCCTCCTTACGTGCAAGCCTCCGTTTGCTTGCACCATTTCACGTGGTAGCAAATCTAGACCTTTCTTATGTCTCTGAAAATAGTCCAAGCTATGGAGTACAGGTGGTTTCACGTACAAGAACACAGGACTGTGTTTCTCTCAGGCATTCTGGGGTGATTTTTTGTAAATTAGACTAAGCCGGATATCAGTTACCATTGTTTTCTATTCCAAATAAAAAAATCAGGTGATATCTGTAAATGGCTCTATAGTAAATATTAGAGAACATGTTGCTTAAAACAGGTTAGGGAAAACTGTAGAAGGGGTGGGAGATTTTCAGTGCTGATTTTGTCCTTGAATGGTAACATCTCTATGTGATGTTGAGGTTTATGTTGGTTTGCTGCTTGCAGATGGTCTTGTTATTGGAAATTCTCTACCAAACATAAATTACATTTTATTCTATGAACATGTGCCCTTCTAAAATACTAAAATACAGTCTCTTTGTAAAATAGACACTGCTGTTCAAAGGATGAGTATGTCCTCTATTGGTTGAGGAAGATGACAACTAACTCAATAAGGACAATATATAAAATAGGCATTCCAAGTGGAATGTGGTGGGGTGATCCTGTAATCCCAGTTATTCAGGAGGCTGAAGAAAGGGTTGACTTAAGCTCAGGAGTTTGAGGCTGCTGTGATTGTGCCTATAGATAGCACCTGTACTCCAGCCTGGGCAACAGAGCAAGACCTATCTCTTAGGAAAAAAAGGCATTTCGTTCAGATTACTATGTAATACAGATTTTAATTATTTTGTTATAAATTGCAACTGAATGACAACTCAACAAATATATCACTTGTAATAGAGAAGACAGTTATGGAAATTGTAGTGGAGATTCAATGGAAGGGAGTTTAGCTCAAATTACTCAACAGGAAAAAAACTTATCCAAGCGTTTAGATGTCTAACTCTAAAAATTCTGTGTTATAGATCAATTGCTAAGATATTTATCTTTTTTTCTCAAAAATGCTCTTTGCCCTTTTTAGCATTCCACAGACAGGAGTAATTCCTTAGAAATATTTATGTAATTTTTTTAATGTGTTATTCATACTTAATAGTGGTTCTACTGTATATTGGTGGATGCAGTCTGTATCAGGGATGCACACACGCTTATCTATCTATCTATCTGTCTATCTGTCTGTCTGTCTATCTGTCTATCTATCTATTTTAGATGAGGAATAGGTTCTGAAAAAGGGTGAAAGGTGTTTATGCTAACCATGACACAAACAACTGACTTCGTAAGGAGCAGTCACAAGACATATCCTTCCACTAATTGTCTTTAAAAAAAAACAAGAAATGATGCTTTATCTGGTATGCATGGTAAACAGTGCTCCTTGCTCTCTCCTTCATGGTGACATATGCTTCCAATGTGGGTAGCACATACAAATCTAATGCCCTGGAGAACAATTTAAGAGAGCATTTTAGCCAAATGCAAACCCACTTGTCATGAAAAACTAAATCAAAATAATGTGGCATTGACATTTGTCAATGAAAAAATGACATAACATTGAAAAACTGGGAGAAAAAATATTAATTTAAAAATAATTTTAAGAATGAATTATTGGCACTGTAAACAGATCATGAAAAATTATATTTGCAGCACAAATATAGTATTTATACCTATGTTAATAATTTTCAATCCAAGATTTTTATTAACTACACACTTTCCTAATTTAAGGAGCTGTTTGGAAATAGTTGTTTACTCTAGAGAAAGTTTGACATGGACATATGGAACTTTAGAAAAATGGACACAGCAGCACTGACTGCAGTAACCTAAGAGTGGAAATGACACAACTGCCCCAGTGCAGAGCAGAGGGCCAATGACCTGATTTATTCACAGGATGGGACGTTCAACAACACTTAAATGAGTTGGCTATAAAAGTATCAGTACAAGTAGATGTCAAACACAGTCTTAAGAAAGAAAGTTGCCAGAAGTACAGTATGATGCCACTTATATAAATTTTAAAACCTTTAAAATAATTCTATATGTCTGAAGAGTTATACCCATGTAACAAGAGTACAAAGCATACATAAAATGATACATATGAAGCAGTAATTTGTGTAATTACTTTTTAAAAAAACAGGTCCTCTTTAGTGGTTATGACAAACTGTTAACACATCATAACTGAGTAAGAGGTTTGCAGTGGTTTTTTCATTATCTATCTACTGCTGTAATTCAAACTCGTATTAATTATTTATTTAATTATTTAGACAGAGACTCACTTTGTTTCCCTTAGTATAGGCAACATCATAGCTCACAGCAACCTCAAACTCTTGGGCTCAAGTAATCCTTTTGCCTCTGCTTCCCCAGTAGCTGGGACTACAGGTGCCCACCACGATGCCCAGCTTTTCTTTTCTTTTTTTTTTGCAGTTCTTGGACGGGGCCAGGTTTGAACCCACCACCTCCAGTATATGGGGCCAGTGCTCTACTCCTTTGAGCCAGGGCGCTGCCCTGCCCAGCTATTTTTCTTTTAGAGACGGAGTCTCATTCTTACTGAGGCTGATCTCGAACTCCTGACCTAAAGCAGTCTGCCCTCCTAGGTCTCCCAGAGTGCTAGAATTATAGGCATGAGCCATCACACCTGGCCCAAACTCACATTTAAATTATGGCTATGTGGGATGAGAGAACTATAGTATTCTAGGTTTGTGATTGGTTTGGAAACTTCTTAAATGTTTGAGTGTTTTCTTACACTCAGAGCATTGGTCTTGTTAATTTGGAGTGAAGTATTGTATAAAAAGCACAGAATGAACAGCTATAGAAAGCCAGCGGTCAACCAATGACAGCCGTATACTGGTTAGGCATCATTGTGAGAATGAATTTGATGTAGAAAATGTGGTTGTGTATTGAGTATAAGGTGGCTGGTGGTATTGGACACCTGAGGTTTAGAAAAAGTTAAATCATTGCAGAAAATGGGAAAAACAAGCACTTTATGGGTTGAGGCAGAGGAATTCTGAGCAGTAGTGGGGCAAGGGGATCCAATCAGTCTTGGAAATCTACATCTGAAATGGAACTAAGTAGAACATTATTTCCTTGCAGGGTTTAGCCTCATGCTCCCATCTCACTAGGTCATTAGGAAACAAAATGGGGAGTTATGGATCTTTCCCTTTTGAAGGCAAGTTAGCCGGATGGGTAAGAATTAGACATGCAGGGTTCAAATCCCTGGGTTCAAATCTATTTCTATATATTCAGAAGTGGTAACACATTTGGTCAACAATTTGGTTTAGTACTCAACTGAGGACCACGATGAGGTAGATCTGTGCAAACACTACCCTCCCTCTCCAACTACTCTCTCTCCACCCTCTTTCTCCAGCTACTCATCAGTGTTGGAGGAGTTGGTGAGTCAGAGTCTAGCCCCAAGGTTGAGTCTGCTGGAATACTCCTTCACTGAAGCCCATACCCTTTCCAGACTGGGAGTGGCTGTCTTAAAAACTATTACTACTGGCACGCTCCTGCCTCCTATACCTTGGGAAGTTTGCTTATTCTAAAAATAATGCCATTGCCCAAAACATTTTTGAAAGTTTTAGTTTGAAATTACATCCAGTCACTTGGTCTCTGTGGTCTCAGTTTCTTCATCTGCAAAGTAATAATAATGCCTATTCTGACTCCAAAAGTTGTTATGAAACCAAATAGGAAATATTTCAGAAACTAGTAAGTGCTTGGTTGATGTTACTAATTAACAAAACTACTTCACAAACTATGCTTTTACTTTAAGGCAACTATTCACTTTTTAGTTAAAAAATACCTTGGGCACAAACTTGTCTCCAAATGACCTTTGCTATAACCAAATACTAATTTTACTTCAGAGTATCAAATAGTAAAAATAGCGTCAGGAGTTTCATGTATGGTATGACACTATACGTTAGCCCATTTAAAGACCCCTACAGACGAAACTTCACGTGTTCAAATTGTGTGAGTATTTCATAAAAGGGATGTGAAATTTAATGTCACTTTTTTCTTTCTGCAGGAGGTCACCAAAGCTGTACAGCCTCTCTTACTGGGGAGAATCATAGCTTCCTACGATCCAGACAACAAGGTGGAGCGTTCCATAGCGATCTATCTAGGCATAGGCTTATGCCTTCTCTTTATCGTGAGGACGCTGCTTCTACACCCCGCCATTTTTGGCCTTCATCACATTGGAATGCAGATGAGAATAGCTATGTTTAGTTTGATTTATAAGAAGGTAATAGTCCCTCACATAGTCCCCATGGTACATGTATTCTCCATATAAATGTTTTAAACACCATGAATTAGATAGTGAGCTGGTACAAGTAGAGAATTAATGCTAAAACTCATTTTATAGGCCTATGAAATAAATGGCAGGAGTAAATGTTTTTAATTGTTCTTGATAATTTAATTCACTTCACATGATTGGCACCTTCTGTGAAGTGCCTATATTGAAGGTTTCATTTTTGTTATTTTCCCCAGTCATATCATTATTTTGCTATCTGTGGTTCCATGTTAAAATGACTTACATCGTCTGCATCAAAGTCACTGACTAAATATCATTTTTATGGTAAAATTCCAGAAATTTTTATGGTCCATGATGAGAGTATAATATAATTGGCAATGATAGATTACCCAAGGAATGAATGTTTCCAACTTAACTAGTTGTCCTAAGTGGTAGTATCCATCCATTGCCTTGTTTTGAGTTGGATTTTTGTCATTCCATGAGTCCTACAAATTTGAAGTTTTTGGAATAGCCCATGCATTGAAACCATAGGAACCTACTCTGCTTTATTGTATGTATTGTTCAGATAAGAGCCTGATTTACTAAAGCACCATTTAAAGGAATTCAAATTAATATTTAGGTAATTTATAACCACAATTTTAAAAAATTTCAGAATATTAGGGGATATACATGTTCTGTTTACTTACTTTTTTTGACACAAATTGAGTGAAGGTTATGTGTGCCCCCTACCCAGACAGTGTACAGCCCACCCAATAGGTATGAATTTACCCACCCCTCCTTCCCCCTCTCTCAGCTTGATTTCATTGAGATTGACTTTCATTGACTTCTGATCAATTTAGTGTTTGGTGATGAATCAGTTCCAGCCTGTTATTAAGTACATGTATTTGTATCTCCATTCCTATGAAGTTTCACTTAGAAGAATGCCCTCTAGTTTCATCCAAGTTGTCACAAAAAATATTAAATTGTCATTTTTCTTTGTAATACCACATACTATGCATATACCACATTTTATTAATTCATTCATCTATTGGTGGGCCCTTGGATTGGTTCCACATCTTTGTGATTGTGAATTGTGCTGCTATGAACATTTGTATGCCGGTGTCCTTTTATAAAATGACCTTTTTTTCCTCTGGGTATATACCTGGCAGTAGGATTGCTAGATCAAATAGTAGGTCCACTTTATGTCCTCTGAGGTATCTCCATGTGATTTTCTATAGAGGTTGTACCCACTAACAGTGGGTAAGACTTCCGTTCTATCCACATCCACACCAGCATCTGTTATTTTGGGACTTCTACAAACCATTCTTGTTGGAGTTAGGTGATATCACTTTGTGGTTTTGATTTGAACTGCCATGATGATTAGCAATGTTGAGCATTTTTTCCTGAGTTTGTTGGCTGTTAGTATATCTTCATTTGAACAGTGTGTTTTCCCCACTTTTTAATGTGGTTGTGCAGTTGTTTCTTGCTGACTTGCTTGAGTTCTTTTTAGATTCTGGCAATCAGTGCTTTATCAGATACATAGCATGCAAATATTTTTTCCCAGTTGGTGGGTTGTCTATTTGCTCTTTTGGTTGTGTTCTTCACTGTGCAAAAGGTTTTTAATTTGGTAAGACTTAAACTTAAGGCAGAAAAGTATAAGAATCCTAGAAGAAATACAGGAAAAACTTTTATTGATGTTGGCCTAGGCAAAGAATTCATGAAGACCCCAAAAGCAATCACAGGAACAACAAAAATAAATAAATGGGACCTGATCAAATTAAAAGCTTCTGTACAAACATAAGTTAAGGCCATTTTAATGGCGTGTGCTTTCACCAACCTGATTCAATATTGTGTGTGACTACTTGGATCTACCAAGTGTTTTTGATTGACTTGGATTGCTTTACCCTTCTGTTTTTTTTCTTCCACTGATGTAAAAAAACTTTATATACTTGGCTTATAAGGAGCACAGATCTGAAATTTGCCTCTAGCAAATACCCAAGGTCAATTGTGTCATAAAATCTTAACAACCATACTTTATTGTTCAAAAAAATCTTTTATGGAGGCAGAGGGGAAAAAAAAACAGTTCACAGTTTAATCAAATTACCTCAGCTGCAATCTCATCACTTTACAAGTTACCAGGAAAATGTGGATGGCAGATCAGTAAACATTTTATTTTGATCCAGACATTTCATATGAGTGAAGAAATTATTAGGCATTATTTTGAATATAGATTCTACACATTTTGACTATTAAAGCTGAATGTAGTTTAATAAATATATATAACAAGTGCTTAATATCATGATGATAACTAATAGCTAAGAATATGCATGACACACATACTATCTCGGTAATCCTCCCTACAACTGTTTATGGTAGGTACTATTATCCTTGTCTATGGAAAGGAAATGAAAAGCTAAAAAGTAGAGAATACTATGTGAAAACTGCTTCAAATTTTCTAAAATAGGTAAATCACAGTCTGTGAAGTGGAGGGTTTTCCAGCTACTGGGGAAAATGAAATAAGTACTGAAATACAATGAGGTAGACTGTTACATGGGAAGAGAGAGGCGACAAGGAAGTGAGAGCAAGTAAGGAGCAGGTTAGTTTGTCAACAAATCTGTATGGAACGTTTGGCATACATAAGGCACTGTGTGTCAGTTTTCAGTCCCAGAATACATTGATTAATTAGATGCTACAGTGGGTGTCTTCCTTAACATTGAATATTTGTTCTTACCTACGTTGATTTATCTCTCCAGCCTACATTGGTTTTATCCTCAAATAATATGATTACATCTCCCTGTGACTCTGATTGGGTTCCTAAAGTAAGCCTGTGTTGACTCTTACTAAGTTCATCCTTTCCCTTATCTAACCTGTTTCATCTTTGTGGTAGGGACACATAGAACTCTTTCTACAGTGTTCCACATTTTCTATTACAATAGAGCACTCTTTTGCTTTATTCCAAATTCTATGACATTACACTTTAATGAATTTAAACACAAACGAAATTAAGCTTTGCCTATGGATTTAAAAGATGCAGAAATAACTAAACTGACAAACATTCACTGAGTGCCTGCTATGCACACAGCTCCCTATTAAGGCTGCAGAGTTGCCTGAGGTTGAGTCTGTTAAACTCAAGTGTAATCCAGCTCCATGGGTCCCTACAACCTTCATATTTCTACTAATGTTTTAGAATGAACTACCTTAATTCTCATTTCTGTTTATCTGTACACTATTCATTATTCCAGATCTACCACAAGTTCTAACTCTTCAATAAATTCTTTCCAGAATTTTCTAACCACAGTGCGAGCTTTCTATTAACCACCCTATCATTTTCTGCTTCTTTTAACTCATTTATCATATCATGTGTAGGTATTTATGTACTAGATTGCCTGGAAGCAAGAATTATCTTTAATTTCAAAAATAATCCCTAAGACAGAGTATAGTAGTAATATGTATCTATTAAATGCTTAGTAAATATGTGACGGATTCAGTTGAAACATAGATGGTATTTTCCAATCAAAGCCTTTAATAGCAAATCAGTTCTTCAATTTTACAGGCAAAAGATGACTGTGATATTTCATAATCATAATTTATCTTCTTAATAATTTTTAATTAAAATAAATTTGTAGATAAATATGTACATAAATTAATTTTACATATGCTATTATATTTTTCTTTGTTACATTAATAATAGAAAAATAGATTTAACTATTCACAAAGTTATTAATGATTTAGTTATATTGAAACTGAATATTTTTCTTTGTTAAATCTAGGATTTTCTATTATTAATTGTAACTATTCACAAAATTATTAATGATTCATAATATGCTTCTATTGACCTCGACAGTAATTTTATTCAAAAGAGTTAGTATCAGACTATAGGAAAAATTTAAGGTCAAAGTTTAACCTCAAATTTTACTGCCTTTGGCTCCACCTTTTAAAACATCAACAAAGATAAATAAATAAATCCATATAATATAAATGGATATTGAGGTAAAATACCATTCTTATTGTGGAGTAGAAAAAAATAATAGTTACTTTCTAAATGCTGGAAAATAAAACAACTAGAGCTATGCCAGTATATTTGCTAATAAGAGAAATATTTATAAATCTGAGGTGATCCTAAGCTTGATGAACATAAAATAGTCTTTACTAGTAACCAAATTCCTCAGCTGTATTATAATGTTACTTATAAATATAGAGATGTCTTCTTGTTGCTATCATCTAACATCCCATTTTTCTTTTAGATTTTAAAGCTGTCAAGCCGTGTTCTAGATAAAATAAGTATTGGACAGCTTGTAAGTCTCCTTTCCAACAACCTGAACAAATTTGATGAAGTATGTACCTATTGATTTAATCTCTATGTGTTATTCGTATACAGCGTATGTCCCCAAAGATGGAGTTTTCCTGGGTCAGATAATAGTGATACGTGTTTTTGTTGTACTCATCTCTACCTTCCCTATTCTGGAAACTGATAAAGTTAAACTGAGTAGCAAAGCGTCATGCTGGGGTCTGGTGGAACCACGTAACTCAAAGGCACCTTAGTTTGGTGTTAATAAGATTTTTTAAAACTTAATCTCTATCAGACCTTTTACTACTTTATTTTTTACTGACCATTCGTTCATCAGTCACCTTTTAATACTGAAAATAGTATTTACTTTGGCTGTATATGATACTCTGATACTCTTGTTCTGTGCTGTCTTAAGTGACAAATTCAAGGTCCTTGAGGAGAGATAATGTGGTTTATTTATCTTTGCATTTCGAATACTTAGCATAGCATTGGACCCACAGCAGGTACTAACTTAATTACTGTTGAGTTGAGCACATATTTGTTCTGGGTATCTCTATTGGATGACAGAGTCATGCAGTTTTATGGAGTAAGCCTCTGGGGGAGAGTCCTTTGTTTTCTCATGTTCTAGACTATGGCTCTTGCTGTATCCAAGAAGAAATACGTTATATGAAATAAATTCTAGACATGATATTTCAGATAGTAACTCTCAGTTCCACTGATAAAAACACACTTAAACAAATGGTGACTTGAAATGTGTCCTTCGAAAAACCTAGTCTATGGGCGGGAGGTTTAACTGCATTGCTCTGGGTTTCATGTAATGAGTACCTAGATTTTAATGTGCTCAGAACCACGAGGTCTTTGATTTATAAGCTCCCTGTGTTTGCTTTCTTTCATATGATTGTTGCTGGGGGTGGAGGATAAAATGCCACTTGTTTCTGCTTTTATTTTGCAGGGACTTGCTTTGGCTCATTTCGTGTGGATCGCCCCTTTGCAAGTAACGCTTCTGATGGGGCTGTTGTGGGAATTGCTACAGGCCTCTGCCTTCTGCGGACTTGGGTTCCTCATAGTTCTTGCCCTTGTTCAAGCTGGATTAGGGAGAATGATGATGAAGTACAGGTAGCAGTCTGTTTTCATAGCTTGAAAGGGTTTCAGTCAAGTTTTCAAAAAGCCCACTCTAGTAAAACCAGGCCTGCTCTGTGTACTAAACTGTGATCTACAGGGTTTCACTAAAAAGAAATTATTTTAATGGTCTAAATAATACTTTGCATATCAGTGGGACTCTGATCGTTAGGCTAAAGAATGTATTTATAAATAGGTTATGAATCTTTCATGTTTATAGACATAAGATTTAGGAAAAAATGGATAAAACATTTATGTGAATTAGAGTGAATACATAAATTTTGTGTGGAGTTTATTGGCTTTTACTACTCTGATTCATAGATAACCACTTTATATCACAGAATAAATCACTGATAGCATGATAGCAGGTACTGGTTAGGATATAGGACTTCCTGAGTTTATCAGTTAGACCAGTGGTTCCCAGCCTTTTTGGTACCAGGGACCGATTTCATGGGAGACAATTTTTCTAAGGATGGAGTGGGAGCTGGCGGGAGCAGGTAGATGGAGCTCAGACTGTGATGGGGAGTGGCTGGTGGCTCGGAAATGCAGGTAAACCTGCTTCACTCCATAACCTGCTGGCCACCTCCTTCTGTGCAGGGTTCCTAAATTTCACCAAAGGAAATTTTTCCACCCTTGGGGGTGGGGATGGGGTGGGGTAGGGGCAGAGCTCTGCAGCCTAGCTCCTAACAGGCTGAAGACTACTGGTCCACTCCAGGGACTAGGCGCTGCAGAGCTATGAAAGAAAGCAGACACATTTTGGATGCAGATAGCGCTTGTTGAATCCCTTACTAGTTGTAAGATTGCACACTTACTAGTTGTATGACCTTAGTCAAACTATTTCACCTCACTGAGTCTGTGTTTTTTCATCTTTAAAATAGAGATAACCACCATTCATAGACTGTCACAAGGATTGGGGATAGTGTAGGGAACGCACCTGACACAGGATTGGGCACGTAGGAAGCATTTACTAAATGGTAGCTATTACTTTATTACCATTTACTTGATAATGAAATAAATACCCATCTGTTTAATCAAAGAAATGTCACTTTTCTTAAAAGTGTGAGTAGATTTTTGACTTGTTTTCACTATTAGATTGACTGATTGAATTGTTTACAGAGATCAGAGAGCAGGAAAGATCAATGAAAGACTTGTGATCACCTCAGAAATGATTGAAAATATCCAGTCTGTGAAGGCATACTGCTGGGAGGAAGCAATGGAAAAAATGATTGAAAACCTAAGACAGTAAGTTGTTCTGATAATTTCAATATTGTATTTTTATCTTTAATATTTTAAAAATGAGTTGGGTGGCGCCTGTGGCTCAAAGGAGTAGGGCGCCAGCCCCATATGTTGGAGGTGGCGGGTTCAAACCCAGCCCTGGCCAAAAACTGCAAAAAAAAAAAAAAAAAAAAAAAAAGGAATCCACACATACCATAGTGGAATTCCAGCTCATCTTTGACATTTTTGGCAATCAAATAATTGTATGAAATGATTTCATTCTTCATGCCTTAGTTATACAATTTCATTTTCATGGACTGTAGTTTATGTAGTTGACCCAGTGTATTATTTTGTATCACAAGGATATTTATACTTTATAAAAGAATTTCTTACACGTGTCCATAGCTGTCTATTTTAAATAGACAAAGAGTTGTCTATTTTAAATTTCACACAAGCTCTGGGGACACCGTGTATGTTTATCTGATTAAAATAATGATCCTGATGCTGGAGGCAGATTGATACCTAAGATGGAACTGCTAAAGTATATAATTATGAACCAAACAAATTATCTTCTATTTAGATTTGTTTATGTATATGTTATAACACGTGATAAATGAAAAGAAAAACCCTTTATCTAGTTAAAATATGTGTTCTCCCTTAACTGAGAAATGTTTCATTACTTGAAGTGACTTCACTTCAAGTGAAAGGTTTATAAGAACACAATTTATGAATATTATCCTGTGACATACCTCCTGAGATAGATTTGATACCTATGTCTAGTGTTGATTAGCAAAGGTTACATCCAGTGAGCAAAAAAATACAGCATAGATTTAAAAGTGATAACTGAGATAATTTTTGTCAAAATATAAACTAGAGCATTTCCATAGCTATGAGACCATTTCTCTTTAGTCAAGTTCCATGTTGTACAAATGTCAATCAAAAAAGGTCCTAGGAGTCTCAGTGAAGTTTGATATACTGTTCAAGGGACAAATAATTTTGGCACATTACAATTTTACCGTTTAACAAACGAAAAGGAAGAGTGTCATTTTGGATGGTGTGAATATGGGTTGTTAGACATTTAGGCCGCTGAGTCCTGTAGACAATGATAACTGAGCTGCAGGTGTGTGATTGGAACAACAAAAGAAATGCTGAAATGCTCAGTCCTTTGCCATGTAAACAGAAGGAGTAAAAGAGGATTTATTTCCCAAACATTATTGGTCACCTGTTTTTGTTATGCTTATCAAGACAAATCCAGGAAAGGAACTGCATTTTCTGCATCCTTGAAGTTCTTGGGGAATTGTGCAATTGGTAGTAGTTGTTTTCTCATTAACTAGTGAGCTCTCTATCCTCTGGTTCCCTGCATCATTCTTAAGCTTATAAATACGGGCATGGTAAGGGCAACCAGGATAGTCTCAGGCGACCCATTTTGCTCAAGCCTTATGATAAACTCATGACCAGATCGTCCTTGGTGCTGGCTTTTCTTGACTTTGGTTTTTATTTTTTCCTCTTCCTCAAAAGATGAAATCCATCCTCCCTACTCTGTATTTCAGTCTGACCAGCTCTAATAGCAAATGTTTGGTTATGACTTACATAATCTGGCATGAAATTGTTACCTGAAAAGTCTGGTAAGTGCTGACGTAAATATGGGAAAGAAGAAATGCTCCTGCTCCAGAGAGCAAATAGAACATTCTGGATGAGATTGGCAGATTGTGCTTCAAAAGAGTGATAATCTCAGCCTGAGCCACTGTTGTACTGGCAAAAAGGCCATGCAAAGCTCCTTGGAAATCTATACTTTTATTGCTTTTTGGTAATAAAGTCATTTCCAATTTTTTTTTATAAGAAACTGACAAAGTATCTTTATGGTTCATAAAGTGTTAGTAATTTTATTATGGAGAATATAGCAGTCTGGGTGATTCTTATAGGTGTTCTTACATCCATTATTCTTTTATCATAGTACCACTTCCTATTTTTCTCAACTGTTTCTAATATATTTCAAGAACCATTTGACAAATTTATTAACATTTTTATAGACAGTTACGGACGGTGATCATCACTTTGTAAAATATTGACCAACCTAGTTAATATTTTTCTTTTTCTGCTGAGGAGAAAGGACACATGTTACAGATTCTAAGTCTTAGACCCTCTTCTGGGCTCTAATTTAATCTTGACAACAACTCCTCAAGGGAGTTCTTAAGCTTCTCTTGTATAGATGTCGATTCTATAAATCAGAGGGAAGAGTGACTTGCTTAAGATGGCATAGCTATAGCTGCAAAGCCAGGATTCAAATCAAGGTGAGATTCCAAAATCACAATCTATCTTCAATGTCAAATCACTGAGATAAGTCAACATTAGACCTGTTTAGACTGTGAATCACAATCTAGATTGGGCACATTGAACTCCTCATCTTCATTTGTGAGCTTAGATTACATCTCTCTTTTTCATACTAAGAAAAAAAATCCCTGTGAGTCCTTCACTTGAGAATGAGAATTGCTTTTCTGAACTGCACAGGCAAGTGGAACTAGTGCCCACAGGCCAGGTGCCCACCTGCACTCTGCATGGCACAGCTGTCACTCCTCACAGCACCGCCCTCTGCTTGTCCGTATTCTCATTGCCCTTTTCTTATTTAAGAGCTAGCTGGGAAGGATCACAAGTGAGTCCAATTTTTATGGATCCTAGAGTAGGATTTATGTTGCATTCCATTCCCTGTCTTCTGCCTGCTGGAGTATTAAGGTTCATATATGTGGTAACAAAAAGAATTCCCATTTGCAGTTCAAACGAGAAGATTGAAAGTATAGTATAATGTGATTCCAATAACTATGCTCAAATTAGAGAAAAAAAGAGGATGCAGTATCTACTCTCTTAATTTTTTAAGAATCAACTGCAACAGAATCAGGTTGGGCCCTTCTTAAAAAAAAAATGCAGATTCTGGAAAGCTACTGAGACTCATTTGCTCAATCACTGTCTCCAAGAGATGGGCCTGAGATGTCATCTTAACAAGTATCTCAGGTGACTTTTATACATGCGAAGGCTTGAGAACCATTCCTCTGGGGTTTATTTGTTATTTTCAATGTTCCTCAGAGCTAAGCTAGAATTTCTGAAGTGTTAATAATCCATTAGGTATTCACATAACTGCCTTTTTCCTTCATAAATCTTGCAACATGGATCTCATTTGCACACTAATTCCATAAAACACCAACCAACTCCAAATTATTAGTCTCACTATTCTTGTAAGTTAATAAAGAATAAAGGTATAAGAAAGTTATGATCATACCAACTAAAATTAATTATAATTTAAAAATAATATTTGCAAGTATGTGCAAAACACTGGTACATTCATTATCCTCCTCCTTCCAGATAAGGTAACTGGAGAAGTTCAGTGACACGGCCATGGTCATGCAGGTCATGTACATAGAGTGGAACCAGAATCAGAACACAGGTGGAAACACTCTAGAGAGATCACGTTCAGATTTTACGTTCTAAGATGCCTGATATTTGAAAAGTAAAAAATAAAAAATTCCAGAATCTTTTTATTTTATTTTATTTATGTTTTATAGAACAGAACTGAAGCTGACCCGGAAGGCAGCCTATGTGAGATACTTCAATAGCTCAGCCTTCTTCTTCTCAGGGTTCTTTGTGGTGTTTTTATCGGTCCTTCCTTATGCACTGATCAAGGGAATAATCCTTCGGAAAATATTCACAACCATCTCATTCTGCATCGTTCTGCGCATGGCTGTCACTCGGCAGTTCCCCTGGGCTGTGCAAACATGGTATGACTCTCTTGGAGCAATAAACAAAATACAGGTAATGCCCCATAACTGTGCATCATTTAATATGATTTTGAAACATTTTAGAATTTTCCTGGCAGGCAAACTGTTTAGAAATGAATTCTTGGTTTGGGGCTTATTTAATGCATAAGATTTCTTTTCCGTGCCTGTATGTGGTTTAATGAGCCCTTGGCATGAGTACCTACTGAAATAAAGTGAAGACCAGTGATTGAGAACAAAAAATTATTTCTGTATTCTGGAGGATTTCATTCAAATGATCAGTCACTATATAAGTTTTAATGAACTTTGAAAATATGCAAAAAGATGTAAAAAGAAAATTCCTTCTAGAAAGTTATAAAACTTGGCAGCTAATACAAAGGATATTCAGCTTAAACTCTTCTTAGACAAATGACATTTGATGCCAAATTACCTTAAAATACCAGCAATGCTGATATAGCTGGCAGATTTGAGGTAAAGTTCTATAATCTTAATGCTGATGAGATTCAATTTATATATATATATAAAAGAATGAACTTGTGTGTTTTATTGTGCTTTTTAGATACTGTGACAGAAATGAAAATGGGGGATGAAGAGTGAGTCACTTTAATGTGATTCTGCTGTTATTTAATCTAGGTCAGAGGTTGCAGATGGTGGCCCAGGGACCTAGGTTTTGCTCCTAGACCTGTTTTGTTTGACCTTTATGTTAAAAAATTTGGTATTAATTCCCTACAATTAAAAATTGGGCCATGCTTCTCTCTCTTTCTTACACTGTCTCACACACACAGTCATGCCTTCAGCCTTTTTTGGAGAATTGGAATAACTAGTAAATTGGGTTCTCCTTCTCGACAAGCTGTGGCAGCCCCCCCATCACAGAGAGCCTGCCCCATCCACATCGTCACACTTGCTCCTCAGCCCCCTTCCTTAGTTAAAGTACCCGGTTGACCCCTGCAGCCAAGTGAGTTTCAGATGTGTAATTTAGACAAAGTGGTGAACGCAGCTCAGAATCATAGTAGCCCTGGGAATAATCTTATGTTTCCTGTTAACCTGTCACACTGTGTGTGTGTGTGTGTGTGTGTGTGTGAGAGAGAGAGTGCTAGAGAGAGTGTCACGGAGACTGGGTTTCACTGAACAGCAGCCCAGAGACAGAGAAACTGATCTTGAAAACCAAACGGGGGTCAGGCACTATGGCTCACGTCTGTAATCCTAGCACTCTGGGAGGCCGAGGCAGGTGGATTGAGCTCAGGAGTTTGAGATCAGCCTGAGCAAGAACTAGATCCCATCTCTACAAAATAGGCAGGCATCATATGTCTATTGCTTGAGCTCCGGAGTTCAAGATCAGCCTGAGCAAGAACGAAACCCCATCTCTACAAAATAGGCAGGCACCTCCAGTCCCAGCTACTCAAGAGGGTGAGGCAAGAGGATCACTGGAGCCAAAACTTTGAGGCTGCTGTGAGCTATGATGGCACTCTACCAGGGGTGACAAAGTGAGACTCTGCCTCAAAACAAACACACACAAAAAAGAAAAGTGGGAGAAAATGAGAGAAACCAAAAGAGAGACAGAAAAGAACAGAGAAGAAAAGGAAGAAGCAAGGCAGGAGCCGTGCTTTTTTTATTACTTCATATGGCTGTGACTTCAAGATGAATGGATGTAATTCTTCATGCTTCCACCTTCCCTAGAACAAATGATTGGGCATCTCTATAAGGGCCCTTCTCTTAGGATCACAGTTTGATGCCTTCAATTGAGTTATATATCTTCACACCTTTACTTAACCTGCAAAAGACATGCTGATTATGCTTCTAATAAGAAGGGTGCTGTAAAGATAAAGACTTTTTTTCTCTGTCCTAATGCTTAATTCAGGCACATTCATCACTAAGGTTAATGGACTCAAGGGAGAATCAGTGGTATGTTAAAATCTAATGTGTAAAATACTTTTATACACTATCATGTTTGAAGTGTGTATTTCAAATATAATGAATCCTACTGCTTGGAAAATTTTATAACAGTGGTATAAAATTATAAGAAATTATTTCTTAATAAAATAATTTTATAACAGTATTATAAAATTATTAAGAAATAATTTCTAATTATTAAAATTCATATATAAGATGTAGCACCATTACCATGTAAAATAGATGGTATATATAATGCTTTAATGCTATTCTGATTTTACAATGTATCTTTGCTCTCTTTTTATAAATAGGACTTTTTACAAAAGCAAGAGTATAAGACCTTGGAATATAACTTAACAACTACAGAGGTAGTGATGGAGAACGTAACAGCCTTCTGGGAGGAGGTTAGAGTTCTTTTCTTTTTTAATTTTTCGCTCGAAACACTTAACTGTTTTCTTCTTTGTGGATCTAGATTTCATCCTGATAAAAAATGAAGTTAAAATGATACTACAATTGGTAGAACTGGAAGGAGGACCTCTCCACATGTTTTACTGAATAAGAAGTAGAGGTCCAGGAATATTAAATGCAGTATAAAAGCCTCTTCATTTCATTCTGAGTCATGTAATTTGTTTCACACAACAGATCAGGAAATAATACAGAGACCTTTGGTTTTGGAGCTGGGTTTGAATCCTGGCTCTGTCCTCCTCTAGTCTCTGACTGTCACCTGAACTCTGAGCACTTCTTTGACATGATTGACTCCCGACGGTGATGCTTTTTAAACTCTGGTTTGACACTTTAACATCTGCATGAAAGATGCTTCACTGCCGTCCTTAAAACTTATATTTTCTGGTGACTTCTTCAGAATCTTTCTCTGACTTACCCAGTTTGGGAAATGTCACACTCCAAAATCTTTTTTTCAAACCTGAATTTCCTAACCCTGCAGCTATCTCAGTGCGTGATTCTATCTTTACTGTCTTCCAATTTCATCAATTTCTGGTTTCTTTACTTCTATTTTTTATTTCCTTCCTGGTTTAGTCTCAGTTTATTCCAAGGCTAATAATTTCGACTCTCCTCTCAGCTGCACTATCAATTCCTTTATCCTTTTGCTGTTTTTTTTCCCCCTATAAAGCATTCACTTTATCAGCTTTGTAGAAGGAAGTGGTATTTGGGACAATCATACACTGTGGTGAACTGTAAGTTGCATTCTTTATTGTTTCTACCTCAATCAGGCCTGTAATCATTCCTGGGAAATTCTTCTATTTGTCTTTAGTTAATAATTTTTATTATTTTCCCGTAAGCTATCCCAGATTTTCACCACTTTCCTGAAAGCTGCAACCTCTTTCAGGATCATCCGGCGCTCAGTAACTGGCCTTGCCTTCCACAGTAACATCAAGAAAATAGAGGCCGCCATCCTGTATGAGCCCTTCCAACTGCTCTCTTCACCCTTAGAATATATTTTTCCTCCTTTCTTCTGCCAAAGAGAAAGACACATGCCCTTGTCTGAGCTATTTCATCTTGCTTCATCTCAGAACAGGGGGCTCAATTCTCTCTCTACAAACTTCAACATCTTTTCTCAACGGACTCCTTTGACATTTAACTGTTTTCAAGTTAAAAACATGTTTTCCCTGACTTTTGCGCACCCAATCTGGTCTCCTAAACTTTATCCCCTTTTCTTCCCTTCATTGTCAAGCTTGTTTTCACTTTCTCACCTTTTGTGAGAGCTCACCTTCATCATCTGGATTCTGTCTTTACTAATCAAGTGAAAATGTTCTTTGTTTCCCTTGGATCTGTCAGTTAATTTAGCTTTTGTGAACTATTTCCAGATTGTTCTGGTCTCACACCACCACTTCCAAATCTGCTTTACCTTCCACCTCAGTGGTGATAGGCCACTGTGTCCCCCTCCCCTCCAGGCATCCTTCCAGCATTCCATGCTCTATTGGGGTGACCTCTCTAGGCTCAACTGGTGTCCATATGCTGATGACTCTCAGATGGAAATCTGGGGCCCTGAATTCCTTCCTGAACTTCACACAGGCCCTTCACCTTCATCACTCCTGAGCTTCGCAGACACTCTTGTTCCAGTGTATGCTCCATTTCTTTTAATGGTATCACCCAGGAGGGAGGTCCCTGAATAGTTATATGTGACTCCTCCCTCATTCCAAACCTGTGAGCAGGCAAAATTTCTGCTTATGTATAAGGAAGCTGAGGTATATATAGTTTAATTAAGTAGAAGGAGGTTACACAACTAGCTAGGGCAGAGCTAAAGTGTCAGCTAAGGTTACAAAGCCCCTTTCTATTCATTGTATTGCCACTTATTAAAAAAAAAAAAAAAAGGACTATGGTTTACTGTATAAAAATGCTTTCACATATATTACCTCGTTTAGTAGCCCCCAACAACTCCAGAAACTGAAGCTGAGAATGTTACAATCCATCAACCATTTACCCATTTAGTTGAGAAGAAAAACAAAGACTGTGATAAACCCAGAGGATGCCATGACTGTTCTGCTGCCAACTGCAGGGAGCTCTGAAATGTAGGGGATATTCAGCCTTACTAGATATCAGAGAAATACAAGTAAGATCAATAGTGAGGGTGTTTTCACCCATGAAACTACACACAAACAAAGAACCAAGCAAAAACCAAACCAAAACAAAAAAAGTAGCAATGTTGATCAGCGTTGCTAAAAACTAGTCGTCCTACATTGCTGGAGGAAAATTTGAAACAAGTTTTTTAAAAACTTGGAATTTCCAAAAATGTTTACTCTGCAAATTCTACTTGAGGGAATTTGTACCCCCCCAAAAAGGGATGTGCCCCAAGATTTACATCAAATTACGTGTATCACGGAATTATTGATTACAATTTTTTTAAAAAGGAAGCCATCTAATATAGAACTGTTTAAAGTTTACCTGTACTCTATGGTACTCTATGTCCTGCAATTAAAAATTCTAGTAAGAAGAATGTTTAATGGTATGTGAAGATACTTGTGGTTTATTATATGTTGGAAAAAAAACAGGTTGTAAACCCTGTGTATAATTTGAATGAAAGTTGTAAAAAAAATACATAAGATTTTATGTAATATGTTAATATACATTTTTTATTTTACAAATGTAAAAGTGGTGGGATATCAGCTGAAATGTCAAATGAGTTTACTTCCCTGTTCTATGACAATAGGTGATTTAATTTTCTTCTTTTTTGCTTTCCTATGTTTTTTAAATTTCCTGAAACAAGTGTCTTTTTTAACCAGGACTGAAAGTTACTAGTAACAATAACCTTCTGTTGGTCTGAGTGCTTCTTGGATAGAAGTCCCACTTCTAAAGATGGCACTAAAACTTTTGGTTTAGGCATCTTGCCATATGCAAGAGCTGTGGGGAAAGTATCTCGCTAAGCAACAAGCAAATTAGTCTTAACAATGGCTGAATACTTTCTGACAGCTCTTGTGTATCTGACTCAGCCACTCACCCTTCCTGAGATGTTTGTTCTTCTTTTAAGCCTAATCATTGAGCATGCAGATCCATCTTCCTGGGACACTTATAACCACTTCTTGGTTATGAAATCCCACTTACAGCCCTCACAAGCCTAGCATGTATGCCATTTACTTGGTCATGGCTGAATTGGCTCTGCACTGGACTCCCATAGGACTTGGTGTGATTTTAGTTGTAGCACCAAGCACATAACAATATTAATACTTTTCACAAGTCATTCTCCCCTTCAGGATGTTTGAAGTGGTTTAAATTACAGAGGTGGTACTTAATAAATATTTATTAGATAAACAAATGAATAAGGGAATAACAAATGCCTTTGTATCATTTTTTATGACTTTTCATTGCCCACCCCTTGAAAACTCCACTTTTAGTTGTCTAAAGCCTGATGTTAGCCACTATGAGAACCCAAAGCAGTGGTCTTCAAGCCTAATCATTTATGCATGCCCTTAAAGAATTTTGAAAACTTAAAAATATGTCAGGGTGCATAAGTTAACTCATAAATTTTTCAACATAGGTTTAAGTGGTAGCAAAAGATGCAATTTTCTATTTATTTTATGTTATCTAAGTATTTTAGATGGATTTTTTTGTTGAAAACTTTTTTTTATTAAATCATAACAGTATACATTAATACTATCATGGGGTACAGTGTACTGCTTCTCTATACAATTTGAAGTACTTTCATCCAACTGGTTAACATAGCCTTCATGTCTTTTTCTTAGATACTGTGTTAAGACATTTATATTCTACATTTAGAGAGATTCACATGTACCCTTATAGGATGAACCGTAGGTGTGATCCCACCAATCACCCTCCTATACTCCCCTGCCCCCCATGTTCCTGGGCTAAAATTGGGTTATAGCTTTCCTATGAAAGCTGTAAATTAGTTTCATAGTAGGGCTGAGTACATTGGATACTTTTTCTTCCATTCTTGGGATACTTTGCTAAGAATATTTTCCAGCTCCATCCATGTAAACATGAAGGAGGTAAAGCCTCCATCTTTCTTAATGGCTGCATAATATTCTATGCTGTACATATACCACAATTTATTGATCCATTCATGGATCAATGGGGTCTTTAAAGCAGCAGTTTCAGTGCATTTAATTTATGGAAAAGAAATGAATTTATGGAGTCAGTTGTCATTGTGAAGACAATTGAATACAACTTGCTTTCTGTCAGAAATGTATGAATTTATAAAACAGATAATTAATAATCTGTGTAAATAATTCAGTAAACTATTAAGAATTAAATAATCCATTAATTACAATGCTCAACCCATTTCTGAAATTTGATTCTCAGATAAGATGCATAAGTTGCCTTAGGTTTGAAATCTGGGTGAAATAAGATGCTGCCTCTTTCAATATTTCTTCCTTTCCTTTTTTTGGAGGCTCTTTCAGGAGAAAATCTCTCCCTCATTATCGAAAGGTAGTGCCAAAGGTTTTTATACTCCAGAAAGTGCATGTGGTACGTGAGAAGGCTGTCTGTTCAGTGTAAAATAAGGCAAGAAAAATTATGACAAGAGAAATGACAGACAGCTGGCAAATTCTTGGGGAGATAATTTTAAGAAAGAGTACCTTTGGGTGTTAAGGATCTAGAAATGGGAACTTAATAGGTACACCAGCTTCCTCCTGATCATTCTGCAGACTGTTCTGGTTGGGGATCACTACCACAAGGCTTCCCACGAGGTTAATAGAGGAAGAAAGGATTTTGAAAAGGGATTTATTTACTTCTTTCTAGCTACCCTTATATAAAATAATTCATTTGAGTCATCTGGCAATCTCTTCGCATTTATATTCAAAATAATTACTCAAGGAGATGCTAGGAGCTTCTCAGAGGAAGGTGCTACCAGCATGATAGAGTAGAAGTCCAACTTGAGTTGTAACTCCACGGTTTTACCTACTTATTGTGTGATATTAAGCACTTAACCTCTTTGAGTCATTGTCTACAGCATTGAAAGAGAATGCTTATAAAATGTACCTCATGTATTATGCAGAATTTTAAACAATAGTGTGTAGCAACCTATGTAACAGAATATGTAGCAACCTATGTGATAAGATATGTGGCAACCTATGTAACAGGATGTGTAGCAGCCTATGTGATAAGATATGTGGCAACCTGTGTAACAGGATGTGTAGCAGCCTATGTGATATGTGGCAACCTATGTAATAGGATTTGTAGCAGCTTATGTAGCAACATATGTAGTGATCTATATAAAAACCTATGTAGCAACCTATGCAGCAAGATGTGTAGGAACCCAGACAGCAGGCTTGCAGAGATAGAGTGGGAGTTACTGGACGTTAATGATCACTTTGGCAGTTGGAAATTGATTAGCTGTGGAACTCCAGTGAAGGGGGTGGGGCTCAGGGGAGGGGCAAGCCCTTCTTATGTTCTCAGTAAATAGCAGCTGCAGAGGTTACTTGGGGCCTTTTCCCGAACACGTATTGGAAGGCCCACCTCCCGCAAGCTTCAAGCTTACAATCCACTGTCCGGCCTGCTTCCTTGGTGATGGCACTGACATTCTGGCATAGTTGGCAGGATAGGGGATGTGGACCAAAGGAAAAAACTCAGTGTAAGTGTACCCTTTGGCAATACGACAGGAGGGAGCTATGCGGAGGGAAAAGGGACTCTCTGTCCAGATTTACCAAGGGACAACATAGCCTTTGGCCACCATAGATACCTACCAAGGGGACAACACCACTAAAGTGAGATCCTTGCTTATTCATAGGCACGTACCAAAGGGATATTGAGACCTTTGGCAAATAATAAGCCACTTCCTGTCTGTCCTACCAAGAGGAATGACAATTGTAATGGCCAAGAGCTTTTTAAATAGCAAAAAGATTTACAGGAAAGCAATGGGTGGCTTCTGGTCCAGAGTCACAACAGTTTCAGACGGATAAAGTCGGTGATGAGGTGGTGCAGCAGGTTCAATTAGAACAGGATGTGGAAGAACCCCAGTCTTGGACTCTGTGTCCTTCCATCCATTGCCATCTTCACTCACTCCTCAATAAAGCTAAGCTGAATCAGACCTTAAAAGTCAGGATTAAGCAGTTACTTTGGGGCTCTTTCCTGTTGCAGTTACTGACTTTTCACATAAAACTTCCGGCAGTGCCCTCAGCACCTCCTTATGATCCTCAAGGGGGCCAACACTTTAGTCATCATATGTTTACTTTTAAGATTCCAAAAGATCTAAAAAAAAAAAAAAAAAAAGGTTCTAACTTTTCACATAAAACTTCCGGCAGTGCCCTCAGCACCTCCTTATGATCCTCAAGGGGGCCAACACTTTAGTCATCATATGTTTACTTTTAAGAT